ATACATACTCAGTCATATCATAACATGTAGATATATGATACAGTATGCTTAGGAATTTAATGTTGGCCTCTTTAGAATTATAGTTAAAGAATTTGCTCATCACTGGAAAAGGAGGGTGCATAGCTAATGTCAAATCTGATGTTCTTTGAAAGCACAACAGCAATTTTGAGTATTTGAAATTTAGGGAAGTGTATAGTAATGCCACTTAACACTCACCATTATGTTTTGGTTGTCTGTGTCCTTTCCACTGTTCTTTACAGTATCCTGTGCAAATAGCAAACCTGTAGATTACGAAGAGCTTTGATGTGGTGCTGTTAACTGGGAACAGTGATCAGCATCGCATATGAGTGATGAATTTGCAGTTGAGGATAGACAAAAATAAGGTTATAGGTATTGAGAGTGCAGGTGGTATTTGTAGATGCCGCCTGCCTTGGTGAGGGTATTTGGTTCTTTATGCTATTCTGAGATCTCAGGTAATCATTTTCTTAGAATGCCAGATCAAAATGATCACATCTTTGTCCTCAAAACTCAAGTGATTGTATGAGGATGCGAGTTTGGAAAGGCTTTGAATTTTTTGGCTGTTCAAGTAGCTTCACAAGGAAGGATTTTTAGTTTCTTACAGTTCAAAACAAGTCACATCTTGCCACTTCTGTGTTGTCTTCATTTTTCCCGTTTCCTGTGCAGTTTCTTTATAATTCTCTTGTTTTCATTCTGCATGCCAATGAATAATTTCAGATTATATCTTAATAGGCACGAGTCATGACATGGAGTATTAAGTTGTGATGTTTTGAATAATTTATTGATCTCATTTTTGAATGAAAAATTACTAATGAAGAGGATGGGCCAGCTGATTGCAGTAGGAAGGGTGAGAAGCAGCCTCTGGGGATGAAATGCTTCCACATTAGGCTCTGCAAAGAATCTCTGTGCTTACCACATAACCTAAGCATCACACACAGTCATTTTTCAGTGCCCTCAAGATCTTGATGCTTTAGAAGTAGATGTCAAATCTAGCATATCTCTTTATTTTGAGCTAACTCAGCAGAATGAAGTTCAATTTTCTTCAGTGTTTGAGAGTGTATCAAATTTCTTAGTAAGAGCCACACCTTCCATTTATTCACTTATGTTTTGGGAGTAAGTCTCATGCTTTGGTCTTCAGAAGGCCTGTAGCAATGCAGCAAAGAGAAGACTTTAATTCCCTTGTGATTTACCTAGTTTCTTGAGCAGGGTGTGCAGTCTGTCATCCTCATTGAGGATCTAATGAGATGTGATCCCTGCCTGTCAGCCTTTTAACAGCGGGTGCTAGCTCCCAAACAAGAAGAGGGCATGATGTATTAGCAGAATGACTCACTTCGGTGTCGTGTGCATCTCACAAATATTGCTCCATCCTGTGAATGGTGCAGTGCATCTGATTCTAAAAGCCATTTGAAGGACATGGTTTATGTGATTTAATTTATCGAGGTAACTTTTATCAGTGTTTAAATCTTCATACAAAAGCGGGGAAGGAGGAAGTTTATATCCGTTTTTATATTGTAAAGAAACCTTGAAATGCATGCCAGAGCTGATGTATGACAGAACAGTATTTTAATTACACACCTAGAATGGTAAATGTATTTAAGCTTTTTTTTTTTCCCCACTCTGAAACACCTGGCTTGCAATTTAACATTGTTGTTTCCCCACATTTTACTTTTTTATCACCTGTGGTTACGTATAGACAACAAATATTGAATAGTAGCTTTATAAAATAGAGTGATTTATTGATACAGTAAATACTATATCTCTTTACTATTGGCACAGGGAATCCTGACCTTATTTAGTTTGCAGTGGAATCTCAGTGACCTTACTACAACCATGGTCTGTAACAGTATAGTTGTAACTCCTTTCTTTGTATACATGCAGTCCTCCATGACTTAGAGTGGCTCATAAAAGTCTGAGAATATGCTGCAACACAATTAGACGTTTTGCACGGGATATCCATTACTAGATAAAAGCTAGGTATCAGCAGCTTTGGGAAGGTAATGAAACTCCACTGAGTACTGGCTAAGATCACATATCTGTGCTTTTCCAGACATGGGGAGCTACATGTGTAATGGTTGTGTCTGTAGTATGTCTGTTTGTCTGGAGGGCACATGATACTATCACTGTCAGTAAAACTTCTGTAGCTGCAGACTGAGAGGCTGCTCCCTCTTGGTTTCCAGATATGCTGGGGTACATCTCAGCAGTATTTGATCTTGAACTTGGTCCTACTTCTATGTGGCAGTGAGTTGTTAAGAGTCTTCAAGACTTTTTTGTTGAGGATTGGGTGATCAGTTTAACTCAGGAAAACTCAGCAACTTTGGGCTGTTGGTTTTTGAAGAATTGGTGGAGGTGAATCACCATTTGTTGAAGCCAAGCTGTTAAATTTCATCAGTCCTCTGTTGAAGGCATAATGCTTGAATGATAACATAAACTATGTTAAGGAGCTGTTGTCCCATGTAATGAGTAGGAAAAATTGCTTTATGTGATGAAGGCTGTGTACCAAAGATAATACTGAATTGCTGTCTGGTTTTGTGCTATAGGAGAACTTGAGATAAAGTTATAAAGGTGATACACACCTTTATTGCCCAGAGACTTAAGTTTCTGCTGCCAGATTATGTCCTTTCAAAAGGGTGAAAAAATCCAAAACACAATGCCCAGGTGTTCATTCAGTAGCCAAATGAAAAACATACTTTGTTACGTAAAACAGAAACCTGTTTTCCATTCGGCCAGCTAACTCTTTGTCAGCCTTCACTGAATCTTGTTATTTTGGTGCAAAGTAAAATTGGTTGTCGAACTATTAAGAATATTTTAAAAAATAATGACCTGTGAAAAACCTGAAGAGCTGTTGGGGTGACATCTGCATTACATAATTTTTCATTTAACTTCTTTGTCAACATTGCAACAACAGTCTCCTTTTCTCATACAGAGTTCACTGCAAAGTGAATCTGCAAATATTTTTTAGCACAACTTGTTTTGTCTTTCTCCAAAGCAAAAGTACTTTTTGCTGACATTAATGTCAGATTCTCTTTTTTTTTGAGGGGAAAAATGAGTGATGAAAATTAAACTGAATTTAAAGTAAATTTTTTACGGGAGTTCAGAGCTGGTCATCTTGGGGATTTTTCAGTAGGTTAACAACAATTTTAAGAAATACAACAATTAATTTCACTTCTGTCATTAAAGTCTGCAAATGTGGCAGTACATAGAGGCAAATAACTTGAGTATGTTTTATTATGGTTGGCTTTCACAGTAAAACTATCAGTGTTACGGGTTGGTTTCTGCAGTTACAGTCATTGGAAAGAGAAAATGACTGCAAAAGAGTCATGTTTGTTGCAGGTCAGATGTGGACGCGTTATCTCAAGTTGTAAGATCACTGAGTACTCACTAAAGTGATGACTCCATTACAGTTTGTAAAACCACTACTTCTGGACCTGTGGTTTTTTCTTTAGAGAATGGATATTGAGTTCTTAAAAAAAAAAAAAAAAGCTATTTTGCATCTTTAATTACTGGAGTGCATGACTGAATGTTAAGTAGCTTCCTTGCAGTTGTGAGGTCTGAATTAATATTTGAATTGTGTCTGAGCTCGATATTACTGGATAATTTTAATTTACCAAAGAATATCACATTCATACTTATCTTCACTAAAGAAAGTTACCAAACAAAAAACACAGATTTTTTTTAAAATCTCATGAGAACTGTTCGCTGTGTTTGGAGGACAGAGTTAATGTCTTGATGAGAATGCTGCCTGAAATTTAGTGTGGTCTTTGCAGGATTGCACGTGACCAGGTTTTATAGTAATGTATTGGTGATCAAGGGCTCTTCCCATCACATTTGGGGTATTAATTATGTCCTTGTTTCTAATGGAGTGTTCCTTAATGGCAAGGGCCATTTCTCTCCGTACTGCTGACTTGTCCTGTGGCTTTGAACATAGTTATTTATTCTTTGCTTGGGTTTACTCATGTGCAGAATTAAGTTTTACATACTTCTTAGTGTTGTTGCAATGCTTAATTAATATTTATAAAGGCCTTTGACATCCTGTGATGAAAGGAACTCTGCAAGTGTTCAGTAGTGGAATTATTTTATTAGTGAAAATGCAGGAGGAGTCAGAAGGATACCAGTTTTGAATTCAGAGTGAGCAATGGAGTCATTCTGTAACCTTGAGCAGGTCATGCAGTGTCTTGTTTTGTAACATATCCTGGGAAAGCTCTGTTTTGCAGCATGTGTTATTAGATACCATCCTTCCCTCCCCCAAGTCCATTCTAAGGAAAAAAAGGTAAAAAGTAGACAAACATACACAACTTTACTGAGCTGCTAAACATAGCAGATATTTCTTAAGGAAATTGATCATTAACGGGGGCAGAGGGTGAGAAGGGGAGTTGATGGAACAGTTGCATTTCAGAGTCAACATGAGAACTTGTGCTTGTGTTACCTGTTCACAGACCAGACTGGATTTTGCCTGTTACAGATCTCTCTCATTTGGGTTCAGTATGCACCGTGCTTAACTGCAGCTTCACTGTGAGGGACTGCATATAATCTTTATTGCATTCTGAGAGCTCCCTAATCTGTGGTACTCAGCTGGTAAACAAGTTTGTTCTTCAGACTGAATATTGTCTATATTTGAGCTTTGTGATTGTCAAGATTGATAGTCAGCTCTTACAGCATCTTGTATTTGACTATTACATAATAATATAAATCTCAGTCATTGGTGAGGTTTTTTCCTCAACTGACAGAGGAAGGTTATGATTACATACTGTCATAAAAATTACAAGATAGTGAGGAACTTTTGAAAAGTATACATGTGTTTTAAGACTGAGCCAGCTAGACATTTACCTAATTATGTAAGGCACAATAACATTAAATAGTTATTTGCTATGCTTCACAGATGCAAATACAGGGTTTAAGTTTTTATTTCCTACACGGTGCTATATCTGCATTTTACTTGTTGCACAAAACACATAGGTGTGGTTTAGAACAGGGGGCATCAAAACTTTTATTAAGTGCTTCAGCAAGGTGAACAGCTTGCCCAGTGAAGTGTGAGGCGTAGCTGAGTGTAAGTGCCAGTTTGTGCTTGTGCAGTACGATGGATTCAAATTGAAAGCACCTGGATCTTTGTCCTGCTTTATTGCAGTCTGGCTGGACAGCTTGTTCCTGGGGGCTTTTTATTTCTCTGTAGTCCTGCTTCAGCTCTCAGCTCAGCTGGCCTAAGGAGAGGAACAGTGTTTGCCCTTATGAGAATAAACAATGGTTTGTGGTCTTCAAGAACAGCAGTTATTAAAACCCCTGTGCTTTATATAACCCTAGTTATAAGCCTTAATTTATGGAGCATGCCTGGTAGTAATGGAATATCAAGAATTTACCTGTGTGGCTTCAGCTGAATATGCTGAACATATATTTAAGTAGATTTGTTTCAAGATACAGTAACTTCGTGAGATTTATACAGCATTTTCCAGACCAGCAAAATATGTTACTTCCTTCTGCCTTTAACGTAGACTTCCTGATATTGATTGTGACAGTCCTGAAAGCTTGTAACTGAATATTTTCAGCAAGTAACTGAATGAATTTTCTTACCTGTTAAAAATAAATATTGCCTCAGGTTAATGGAGTGGAAAATACAAACCTTAATACCTTTGCCAAGAAAATCTGAGCAAGCTATACAGAGTTGTTTGAACTTCTAATACATTTAAAAACAACCTTAACTTGCTGGTTCTTCCACCTTGACCTACAGCCAATGAATAATAACTTAGTGTGGAATGCCTTGTTCTTAACTTCACACTGATAAAATTAAATACATTCTGCCTTTAGTATTTTGATTTAGTATAATTAAAATAATGACTTACAGTTTGATAAATGTTATTTTCATTACTACAGTGCCCTGAGGCACTGCATGTGGAAAATTTTATAATATTACACAGATCTGGAGGTATGTAATGTGCTTGTCAGACTGTTAACTTGCATAAAGTGTTTTGGTTTTTATAGCATATAAATTTAGAGTGTTTCTTTGGAAACTGAATAAAAGTAAACAATCAGATCCCTTCCAAAATGAAATGTAAATTATACCACTATGCAGCTGCGAGGGTATCCTTATAATATCCCCCTGCAGGTAGAATTCAAGCATTTCACCATTCAGTAGAAGCTGCCTGTAAGCAGTATGACTGTGTCTGGGCTTGGTTTGGTGAGGGATTTTTTTCCCAGTGATTTAACAGCCACTCAATAGAAACTGCTTTACTGATATTTATATTTTAATTTTTTTCTTGATCTGAAGTGCCGTATCATGAACGTTAAGAAAGCCTCCAGTATTTTCAAGTGTGTTAAAATGTGTAGCAAGTAACACTGTAATAATAATGTCTGATGTTTTCTTTGTTTTCACCTTCCCCTAAGGTTCTGTCCTGTATCTGTGGATAGTCTGGATCTTTATCAGGATGGTTTTTAGGTCCTGGGTTCTTTTTGACTGAGAAACACAAATATATATCAATGTCAGAGTTTAAAATAAATATAACTACTTGTTAAAGAATCTGTATAATCCAGTTTTTTTACTGTGTGTGCAGCCTCTGCTGGTGCCACAAATGATGCTCTGGTGGAAAATGCTTAATTTGATTAAACTGTGTTATACTTATTCAGTATTTTTTTCTGAAATGTCACATTCTGACATTAAAACAAGTGTCATAATTGTTGTGTGCACTGTGGCGTAGTTACCTTACCATGGGAAGTAGATAAATTTCCTGTGACTTTTTTTTAGTGTTGAAAAATAATTCTTTTCTTGGCATTTAAGATAGAAGTTTGTAATCTAAGAAAGTACAGAGTTCTTTTGTTAAAATCAAATTTAAGCTGTAGTCACAAGTTAGCATTTCCTTTTTCACTGCAGTTACATTAATGGTAAGTATTCTTTTAATAGCACTTCTCATACACACCTACAAGAATGCACTATTAAGGTGGCAGTAATACTTGTGTCCCAGTCTGTAACCTGTTCAAAGCCCCAGTAAGACATTGGCAAAGCTGCCAGTAGAGGTTTGAGCTTCACTTGTGGAATTGATCTGGGCTGCTGAATGCAGTGGTGTCCTGGTACAGACCTGGAGTGGAGGGTAGCTCATTTAGCAACCTGCTGCAGTCCTTCTGCAGAGAAGGTGTCAGTAATTAGTTTCCTGCTCACTGGACCACTAAGTACAGGACTGTGGTTTTGTTCTACTCAAATGCATTTTTTTGAGGAAGTATTGCAGAGCTGCATTGCTTCATTGACACGGAGCTGGTTATGGTCAGCAGTGCAAAGTGCACTGGCAGCCGGGCAGTCTGGTGCTGGTAGTGTTCAACATCTGTATTAATGACGTGCTCTGTTGGGATGGAACAAACCCTCAGCACCTTTGCAGGTGATCTCAAAGGAGGCTGAGTGGTTGACTCCTCTGGAGATTAAGGTTGCTATTCAGGAGGAACACAGTAGGCTGGAGAAAAGGGCTGGACAAACCTCTTGAAATTTAACAATTGTAAATGTTAAAATTGTAAAAGTACTACACCTGTGTCAGAAGAACCCTCTGCTAGACATCCACTGACTAGACAGTAGCTCTGCAGAAACAGCACCTGAAGGTCCTGAGGAAAAAAAAGTAGAATATGAGTCAGCACGGTGTCCTTGCTGTTAAGAAGCCAGCCGTGTGCTGTGCTGTATTAGCAAGGATATAGCCAGTGGATCAGGAGAAGGGATTCAACACTTTAAAGTCCATCTTTAACATAGTATGTCCAGTTCTGGCTCTCATAGAGGGAAGACACTGATCTTGAGGATTGCCAGCTTCTCTCTGAAATAACTGACTTGTGTCTCTGTAGTAGGCACAGGTTCTTTCTTTTTTATTCTGGTAGCTGTTACCCTTTTACTAGCCCATGGTGTTTCTTGTGGCTGTCAGAATGACACAGGTATTTTTTGTGGCGAGCACTTGCAGATAATGCAGCTTTCTACACATGTGAGTAGTTTTTAGAGGAAAGAAAGGCTTTTTGATAATCACATAAAACCTGAAAGTCCTGAATGGAACTGTGTCTTGCCAAAGGGGTGTCCTGATAGGATACATTACAGGAGATCTTAATTCCAGGCACATTTCTGACCTCATGTTTTGCCACTCTTGGACTAATTTTACCACATTTCACAGTTGTCTAAACACACTTCACCTGTGTCTTTGGTGTGCATGATTGTGCATGCTATGAAATAATAATTACAGATCTGCAAGAGCTCCAAAGTGTTTGAAGCCTGAAGTAGGGGAGAGAACTTACTCAGTTCTTGCATTGTAGAATTTTGGCTATAGCTCTCCATTTTCTTAAAGATTTCCTTTTTATTAATTGGCTAACATGTAAGAGCTTTAGATTGTATCTAGAAGCTAGTTTTTTAATATATCAATAGATAGAAATTGTACAGCTGGGAAGAGTAATTCTGCTTAAAGGAGTGCAAGCAAGAAATACAGAATTTTTAAAAAAATTATTTTTATTTTTTTAACATATTTCAAGGTTTTCTTATGAACAGGTGACATTTAAAACTGAAATTGCCCCCTTCAGTTGCTGAAGACCTGAGAAAAAAACCTCAATTTCTGTGAGCATTTGTTGTTTTACTCTAGGGCTTATATCATCCAGTTCTTTAAAGTAAAGAGCCCTTTATGCTCAATTGCTGTCTCTCTATAAGTCATTCTGCATAGGTGTATAGAGTATATATAGAATACATCACAAAGATATAGATAATGGTGTATATAGATATACCACAAAATTCTATCTATAGAACACACCGCAAAGAATTAATTTGACTCTGTTAACAAGTGTAACAACAGTTGGTAAGGAGCATTCCTTCAGAAAAGTGTGCTTTCAGCTAAGTCACTTGGCTGGTGTTGTGAAGTGGGTGATTATCTCCAGCAGCGCCCAGTTGCCGATGCTGTGCTGCGATAAAGGCGTATCGCTTGGGCCACATGCGCTATTTAAAGTACGCAGCTCTCTTGCTCTGACGCTGTCTTGGTTTTTGGCCAAAGAGAGGAAAAAGCAGCTTACTCTTGAAGAGGAATAATCTTTTGAAAGTGCTGCTTTAGAGCACTTCTAAAAAGCCCTTTCAAAAGTCTTTTTATTTAATACATGGTGAGTATGTGTTGTGTTTGTATAAAATCCACAGCTTTCCCTGGTAGAGAGAGAGGACAGGCTTTTATCTTACATGTGGTGTATATACTGTTTACACATGTTGCAAATATGAAAGTCTTAATTTCCTACTCTGAAGGGCTGAGTTCTGCTATCATGATTTCACTTATATTCAGAAAGTGTGGACATTAATCCTTTTACTAGGTGGCCAGTTTTGAGCTGCAGTTTATCCCTTGAATTGGTATTGCAGTTCTTCAGTGATGCTGTGAATTTCTGTCTCACTTCAAAGAAACAAATATTTTTTTCCCTTCTCTGAATTTTTTATACTCTAGGTCTTCAGGAATGCTGTTCTGAAGGCTCAATTGTTTTTCCTTATAAACATCAGAAATCACTTGGCCTAAAGTAATTTCATATTCCATTTTTGACGGTTAGGGCTAAAGACTGAATTTTGAAATGGCTATCTCCCATGTAAGCATATTTTGTATGGCTGTCTAATCTATGCATGCAAGCATTGCCTAATAAAAAAGAAGGCTGTGATGTTGAGTATTTTAACTTTTTTTTAAAATAAAATGTATTAATCCCATTTTGACTCTTTTGATCAGCAAGATCATAACTCTTTATTTACATGGCTTAGTCTAGTGGAAGTAATTTTACCTTTTAGGAATGTAGGGTCTGTCAGCCCTGGGATTTATTCCCTGCTGTGTTACATCTTGCTTCTGTTTGATGTTCTCTTGAAATGCACTGGAGCACACTTGCATGTTTGTACATGCCACACTCTTCTTATGCTGCTGAAATAATGGAGCGTGCCTGTTAAGTCGGATATGTTAAATGAAAGTGAAGTAAAATTGTAAGTATTTCTATGCTCCAGTTGTGGTGCATTTAATTTTGCTTAATTTTTAGTCTCTGACATCCAGCTTCCTTGTATGATTTAAAAGCTCATCCATCTTGAGCATTTCAAGCTGTAGACTGCCAGTGTTCATTGCTGCAGCAAAAAGGGCTTGCACCTCAGAGAACTCACTTGGGAGTTGGTAGTATGCCTTTTCTTCATTGCTTATGACCCTTAGTTCTAATCATCTTATGATTTTTAATGCATTACTGTGAGTTGAATTTGCTTCCCATACACTCAGCTAAGTTCCAGAGAAAGTCCAAACAGGTGAAGGTCAAAGACAGAGCTTGATGAAGAGAAATCAAGTGGAAGAAAATGAAAACCACTTACCAGTGGCAGCAGCAGGGTGTTTGTGAAATAGCACTGTTGAAGACATTTTACTTTGCTGTAAGAGATTTTGTCCCTGTATCGATTGAGGAGAGCTTGTATCTTGGAAGTTGTGCCTGGACTTGAGCTTGTTAAAAGATGTTTTTCAACACATTTGGGACACCAGTCTGTGATGCCTAATTCTGCTGGTATTCAGGCTGTGTAACTTACCACAATACCGAGAAAACTTTCAGCAATGTTGAGAAGTTAGGTGCTTGTAGTTAGAGTTCACTTGTAATGCTTGTGCTTCAGTTCTTGACCAATATTGGATACCTCACTGTTGGATAAATTTCTGGTTTAATCAGTTTTTGAGTTCTTTCTGTCTGTTTCCAAAAGACTTGAAATATATTTGTGGTCTGATATTTTGGATCACTAGAGGCTTGTCTGTAAGAAAGAATTATTAATAGCTCAGGCTTTGCTTCTAAGTGACAGTGGTCAGTGCATGCAAATAATTTTCTGCATATGGTGAAGGCCTTTAGCTCTGGCTAGTTGTGGCTGCTGGCTTGAGGGAAGATTTAGCAGTTGTTCAGGTAATGTGGCAGCTATATAGATAGAAAAATGCTTCTGGTCCTGCAGGTGTGGTTTCAGAAGCCCAGTGTTCTGCAAGAAGATGCACAAGTTGTCTCACAGTTCGGAAGCAGGTTTGTAAATTGCCCTACGTTTATCACAACACAGAGAACAGGGTGCACCTATAGAAGTTTACTTCCACTCCTGTGTCATAGTGTAGCTAACTCAATGTCATGGGTTGACACTGGCACAGTGCCAGTGCCTCAGTTGACTGTACTGAAATGAGGTGAAGTGTGAGCTCAGGAGGAGGGAAGAGGACTCGCAGTACTGGTAGTGCACATCTTCACCTGGGAGGAACTTCCAAACTCTCACACCATTGTCCTGTGGTGTTGCGAAAGGAACTGGGAGTTGCATGCACTAAATGCCATTCTAGGAATTTTCATTTCTTACATTTCACTTACTTTTTTGTGCAGTTTTAGTTTGAGGGTGACCTTCCAGGATTATGGGGTTTGTGTAGACTAATCCTGTGTGACGCTTTATCTCTGCCTATCCAAGTGTGTTGGCAGCAGATAGTGTGCAATATATTGCACGTCGTCTCATCTCGCAGTTCAGTTCGTGACAGCAAGAGCTTTGAAGGCAACTCCTGTCCTCTACCTGTGCCTCAAGCCCATAATGTTGTCAGAAGAACTCTATGAAATAGAATTTTCTGGAAAAATTAGTATTAGAATTTTACAGGAAATAAACAATTTCCAAAACAGGTAAATTGTTTTGAGGGAGAACACATTTCTTGAATGTCTGGCTTTGCTTTTTTTTTTTTTTTCCCTGAAATGGATGTTTTAATAACATGGACTTCATAACTGTTTTCAGTTATGCTAGTTATGCTAGTTATCTCTAGTTAACTAGTGTAAAAAAATTCTTTTCTCTAAAATAATTTCTTTTGACTTAATCAGAAGAGGTTGTTTTAAGAACATACATAACGTGTAATGCATCATAGGTACTGGGTTTATTTGGATTTGAGTTTTTTTGGAATGAAGATAACATTCTGGATTACAATTTACAGTTTGTCATAATTTATAAACTGTTAATATGCCTTACTTTAAATACTTGAAATTGAAATCTGTAATATGCTTTTTAAATACTTTTCAGTGATGTTGATTCTAAGATTTTTGTGGGAGATCTTAAAGTGCAATTAGGTAATATTTTTAGATCAACACATGCTTTCTTGGAGAAAAAAAAAAAAAAGCCAACCTAGATTAAAAAGCTGGCTGCTGATTGTTATTTAGCAGATTTCCTCTTCAGGGTTGTGGTGTGTCCGTGTTCCCATTACAGTGTGCTCATAACAAAACCCGGAACCACACCCCATTGTATTACTCTAAATTCACTCTGCTTGGAGTCGATGGGTTTTCTCCCCCTGTTGATCTCCTCAGTGTGAGCAGCTGTTTACTGGAAAGCACATGATGGACCCCTGTGTTTTCAACAGGCCAGGAAGAACTCTGTCTTTTGGCTAATGAGATGCTAATGGACAGCATTATCTCTGGAATAAATCGAGGAGGTGATTGAAAGCTTTGTTGATGTTGAATTTCTCAGAACATTTAACACTGCAAGTTAAACTTGTATTCAACAAGCATCTTGCATCCAGCTGAAGAGGAAAATCATTGATCATAAAACAAATGTTAGTGAAATGCATTGAAGAATGGTATTGGTAAGACAGCACTTGTGATACCCAGAGTAACAATAAGATACTTACCCTTTTAGTTCAGTGAACTTTCACCGTGGTTGTACATTGTTAGTGTGTCTGTAGCATCTGTTCTTGCTCTGTCATTTGGAAAGTGTAACTTTGTACCTCTGACGTGTTTGTGAGGTTTCGTTCAGCGCTTTGTCATGAGCTCCGTGGTCTTGTACGTGTGATGTAGCCCAAGTGTTCAGATAGATCCCTTCCACCTTAGCAGAGCTTACATGAACTGAAGCCTAAATAAAGTTTTGGTAAATGAAGCAAACCAAGTGTTGGTTGCTGCTGTATTGTGCTTGTTGAGGATGCACCCAATGGAATATGAAATCTGTACTAAAAGAGCAGAAGGGGAGGTTGTCATGCAAAACAAAAGGGCTTCTCTGCAGCCTTAGTCCACATAGATCAAAAAACAAGGCAGCAGCAATAGCAATCTCCGTGTCCTAAATTTATCACAAAGGCAGACCATAACTAGGTGATTACTTTCAGGCTATGGATCTTTTGTCCTGGAATCCTTTTAGGGCTGCATGTCACTGTAGGCCATAGTTTCAGCTGTGATTGTGAATGTGGTTCTTTTCTCTTTTCTATTCCCTTCTCATCTGCTTACAAAAGTAAGGATAGTGCTTTTAAGTAGGAAGCTGCCAGTGTGCCAAGCAGTTAATGGAAGTCATTTTGTATTTTGATCCTACCATTTTTCAGCAGCTCTTTTGAGACATCTACTTTTAAACTTTTTAAACATTTGCCTGCTGCAAGAAAGTTTTTTGGAATAGTGTAGTTGTAACTTTCACTGCAGCCCAAAAGGCATACATATCTTGACAAGATAAAAGTAGTAAACGTAATTTGAAGTTATAGCAACTTTGAATGATGAGGGTGTCACAGGTGGGCTTTTCCATCTTGCTCACAATCTATGGCTTAAAGAAAATGAAAAAGTCTGTCTCAATGGTATGACAGGCAATGCAAAGTACACCAAGCTCCCCAGTGTTTCACTGAAGAAAGTGTAGTAATTGCACTTGGTGGTAACTTCAGGATGTTGTTACTAAGGACTCATCTTGCCCTTATCAATTTTATCCATCCATGAAGCAGGGGAGCCCAGCTTCAGGAAACCAGGCAGACATTTATTACTCTCTATAGCACCTTTGTCGTTTAGAGAGTTCTTGGAAGTCCTCAATCAGGAAGCTATTAATACATGTCTCAAAATATTTTTGTAGCAATCAGTTGTGTAAATATCTCTTTGCACTCTGGCTTTGGAGTATTTGGTGAAAATGAAAATAAGGTTATTTCTTTTACCTTTACTGTATAGATGCAATTCAAGGAAAAGTGTGTACTACCTGACAACAAAACCTGCTCAACTCTTTTTTAAACTGTGGTCAAAAAAGTCCTTTGATTTAGGTATGAATACAAGAAATTGTTCAGTACTCTTATAAACTCTGGTTTTATTTTTAATACTGTTCTGGTTTTTATAAAATTTTCTTCTTAAAGAATGTGGATTATAGTTGTTAGTTGGTTCCCATTTGTAGAGTCTCTGGATCCTACTTCTCATCTGTCAAATCATCTTTTTACATTAATGATCTTTGTCTTAATCTTTCCCTATAAAAAGCAATTAAGTAAGCTGGAAACTTGGCCTTAAATTTCTTTATAAGGAGGTGAAGAGAACTGGTTAACAAAAATGTGATTCACCATAGAAACACCTCAGCCAATAGTATGTATGCAGCAAATTAACTATTCCATGGTATTTTCATATTTAATACAGAGCATAGCAACAAGATGATGGCTTGACAACAATAGCAGCTGCATGTATTTTTTTTTCCCTTTTTTTTAAAGAATGTTCTTGTGGGAAAAAATAGATTCCCTGGAAAGTAATTTATATTACAAGTTTCATCACAAAAATTCTGTGGGTGGATATAATAGCCTAGAAATTAAATTAGAGATTTGTATAATAAATGATAGGTTTGATTTGATGTGACACTTCTAGTCTCTTACAAGTGACATAGCTACAGGCAGTAGAATAATCTCTTCCCCTTGTGAAGATAAATGTTGTATCAGACCAAACTATCTTATATTAAATTACAACTTCCCTTTTTATTTTTTTTTACCATATGAAAAGATTCATGAGACTCTTGGTTAAATAATAGCATGACCCAATTATAGGAGTACTTTGGCTAAAATGTCTTGAAGATATTTTCTGTTATCAGACGTGTGATTAATTTATGCAGGGAACTGCCGTAACAGACCTGATCTGAAAAAAAGGAATTTTCCTTTATGCAGCATGTGGCATGATAGTGGCCATACTGAGCTGGAATGTGCTTTTCTTATCACAATTTGATGGAAACCCTCAGATAGAAATGAAGTATGATAAGAGGAATCTGATAACTTGACTGTCTTTCTTGCTGGGAAGAGATTTATAATATGTGAGGCTCTTACACAACTCGACTGTACTCAGACCATTGTTTTTCATGTTTTGGCAGAGAGAAGGAGCAAGAAAGGGAAGAACAGTTAATGGAAGACAAGAAAAGGAAGAAAGAGGATAAGAAAAAGAAGGACTCTGCTCAGAAGGTGGGTTTTGATATTTGAATTCTTCTGTCCAGCTGAAGCATAAATAGTATTGGTGGTAATAAGTAACGGTGTTAAATTGTTTGTATTTGAACTTAAAAATTGGTGCTTCTTTAAAGACACTTTTTTTGCATCATTTTCCTGGAACTGAAGTGTTTAACTTGGCTATTTCTTCTCCTTAGAGTGCTATGTAAAATAAAAGTTTTTTTTTTTTTTTTATACAAAGTATTTAAGTTACTTAATATGGCTTCTTTGGATCCCTCTCTACACAACTGCTACCTGTTTGAGGTGTTTGTGGATTGAAATACTGATGAGCTTTTGCAATTCTTGCAGTAAAATTGAGTAAATATTTATTAGAGCAGGAAGATCCTTTTTTTCTTTTTTAATCCTTAAGGAAGTTTATATGAAATACTTACTACTGAAGATTATGTTTTTTGCTAAGTATTACTTGCATTTTACATTTTCTGTAGTTAATAGCACTTTTGCTGAAGTCTGCCAGTTCAAGTCTGAGTTGTGGAGAATTTGTAAGTCACCAAAAAATGGTTCTGCTAAGAAAACAAGTTTGAAACTTGGTGTACTAGAAGGTCTGTATTTTGCAAAAAAAACATCTGGCAGGTTGTTTTAGGAATTAACTTGACATACAAGCTTCAGTCTCTTAGGGCATTATCCATGCTTTTTACTGGTAAAATCCTTTCTGGGCTTCCCAGTATAAGATATGTGCAACCACCCTGGAGCAAGTCCAGCAAAATGCCTTTAAGATGATTAAGGGACTGGAGGATCTGACAAATGAGAAGAGCCTGGGAGTGTTATGACTGTTCCTCCTGGAGGAGAGGAGGCTTGGGGGATCTCATCAATGTATATCAATACTTTGTGGAAGGGAGTAAAAGATGGAGGCAGACTCTTC